GTGACAGTGCAGTAAGTGTAAATCATTTTACCAAATTTTAAGTGATGTTTTGGTGAGGGTTAAAATCTGATTTCTCATGTGTCTTTTTTTTTCTTTCTATTGTTGCACCATCACATCAGATATTCTAGATTCCATCCTTTTATTTACCCAACAATCCAGCCTGACATGGTTACTGTAATATCTTGGAAAACCGCGAGCACTAGATTTTAAAATAAAGAGTTTGTAATGACAGTGTGCTGTCCTGGAGTGGGGAGGGCCAAAGAGGGGATTAAGACGTCAGTGAAATACGCAAACACAACACTGTAATGTGTCATCCGTGTGCCTGCGGGAGCAGAAAGAGAGGAAAAATAAGAGGGACACAAGATAGACGAGGGAAAAAAAGGTCGATACACTGCCAAAATGTTTAAAAAGATAAGTTTTATTTATGCCACTGTGTCAGGAGAGAAATGTGTGCTGATGACGCTGCTACTGGCTAGCTCGGCTACAGCATGCTTTTAGCAATAAATGAAAAACATAACAGTGACATCATTCTGCTCTGCGGAGCTGTGTGTGTTTGCTATACTTTGTGTTGGCGTGTCGTCGTGTGTGTGTTTTCATCAAATCAATCAGGTTTAATTAAACTGTACAGTGATTAAGGGACAAATTCCTCAGTCTATCAGAGTTTATGCACATCCTGCTTCACCCTCACTCGTAAACTCACAGACACACACACACACATACAGTGACTAGTGGTGCACTAGCCCACAGCATCTTTAGAGTGACTAATCTACTATTAGCACTTGTCTCCCAGTCCCTTCCTCCTACTCCCTCCATCTTTCTCACCACTCCCTTCCTCTTCCTTTGCCCATTCTCCTCCTCCATTCATTTCAGCTGAAGGGGTGTTCTTGATTGTAAGGGTTTGTCATGTTTTGAAACACAACATTTGTGATTATGAAATGGTAAAAGCTAAATTCATCTTTTGCATCTTCCTTTCATTTTTAATATCTCTTCTTCCTCTTATGTCACTGGTTCATAACTTTTTCTATCTTTATTAACTCCTCTCTGTTTCTCCTTACCTTTAGCATATTCTCTTCCTTAGCCTTCGAACTCTTCCTCACTTCATCCCTCCACATGTTTTCTTTACAATGTCCCTTTTCCTCCTCTCCTTCCAGTGCCATCTCTTCTCCTTTATACCTTGCCATCCTCTTTCTCTCTCTCTTTTCCTAACCCACCCCAGGGCTGAACGCAGGACCCCCACACGGGGGGCACCCAACTTGCGAACAACGGCCGCCAACTCTTCAACATATCGTCAAAGCTCACTTCTACAACCAGGCCTGGTGCCAGTGCTCTTCTTCCCTTGGCAACGACTCTAAAAATCGTGAAGAGGGTAGGCCCTACTCCTGCTGTCAACATCCAATCTCCCACTCACCCAACAGATATCCACAGCACCGGACGAGACATTCTAACTTGTTACGCGAAGACCAAAAACACACAAATTCAACAAAAAAACCAGACCCGAATCTTAAAAACGGAGCACTGATACTCTTTAATGTTTACAGATGCCAGACGACTCGATAATATCTTCAAGACACTGAACATGTAGCGTTGAACTGACTCACCCCGGCGAAATAATATGCTTTAAGGTAATCAGAATGGCTTTGATAGTCGACACGGCATGGCTCCAATTATTTGCAGGCGAGACTCCAGAGACTCCCCTGCCCTTATGCAGATCCTTTCACATCAAACCCACCTCAAATGCAACGATAAAACAGCGTTGTGCAGATCCAAGATTTCCTTTAACAAAGATAATCAGCATGGTCTTTTACTACAAAAACACTGACATTTTGAGATAATCGATAACGAATCAGCCAACAGCATTGTGTGATCTTGACACTCCAAGGAGAGAGCGAGGAGAGAGCGAGCTACAATGTACATTGTGCCGTTAGCAACAAGCACATAAATCAAGGAAAGTCCACTGTGTTTCAATATTCACTTTAAACTGCCCTGCGTTCAGCGTTCAAGTAGGTACGCAAAAAAATCTGCCCACGCTATCTGATCTTTTTAACTTGTGCAGTAATACTTTTGAACCCTCATTAGACACCAACGCCCCCAACCCCAATACACACACACACGAACACACACAGCGTTTAACCCCCCCACCCTGAAACGTGTGCCAGCCCACTATGTCCG